TTTATTTATATATATACAGACATACAGTATGTGTGTGTGGTTCTTCGGCCAAGATAACACTGTGATTAGATAACAGCATGCCCTCTGAGTACCCTTGAGAGCAAGCAAGCTTTAAAGATTATTTTTATTCCACGTCATAATTATCATATCATATCTCGTGATAGATGACCTGGCTTAATATGAAATACCCTTGTAGTGATATCGTTTCACTTTCTTATACGTATCTTTTTCACCGTGCGTAAGACTGTAACCACCATTATTTAGAGCTGGAAAATCCTGTGGCTGCGACCCACCATTCAACAGAGAAACACCTCCTGAGTGTCTCTGGCGTAGGCTACTTATTGCACCCTATGATGCCCAAAAGAAAGAGAGAGAGGGGGAGAGGGAGGGAGACAGGGAGAGATGGTAAAAATATCTCCCCAAAACTGTCATAAACACCTCCTTGTGTACTTCGCCATTTGTTTATCTTGTACCTCAACTTTTAAGTGCTAAAGATGCAACACACAAAAAAAGTATTGCTTGTTTTTTTTCTCCTCGTGGTATTATTATGTCAGTTTTTGCCAAGCTCCTTCACGTTGCTCAAGCTCCTAAACACGATTCGGGGTAAGAAAACAAAGTTAAGGTCAAGTTGCTTCAAACACACTGGAAAAAAATCCAAAACTAGATAAGTCATTTTTTTCTTAAAATAAGTGAATTTGTTCTTGGATTTTGGCGTTTAAAGAGAAATCTTGTCAATGGAACAATATAATTTACATTTAAAATAGGAAAACACAATTGCATTGTCTTATTTTAAGTGCATATTATCTAATTATCTTATTTTAAGAATAAAAAATACTCATTCCAGTGGCAAACTATCTTGTGTACCTCCTTAAATTAAGGGTAAATACACTTCATTTAAGAAATGTTTACTTATTTTTAGATCGTTTTGCCAGTGCAGTCCGACAGCAACGATATTTGTAGATATAGGCACTTTAACTTTAAGAAGCAATCCAGATAAGCTTTTTGATAAAAAAAATAATAATAATTTTACACAAGCTTTTTTGCAACACTACAACGAGATTTTTTAAACGACCAAACATTCTATTTGCACATTTTGCGTTTTAAAGACATTCACCGAGTTAGCTTTGCGTAAAACTCAAGTCTGCAACACCAGAATTTAGAAGTTATGTAGCCTACATCTAGATTAGAACGATAATAATAATTATAATACATCAAAACTTACGTCAGACACAGTTCAAATAAATAAAGTTAAAAAGACCATATTTCTGTAAAGGCCACCTGATTTGCATGACCGTATTTTTTCTGATAATAATTTAACGTAAGTGTTCCTGTATGTAAAGAAAAAAACGGAGCTTTTAGCAATCGACAATTATTTTGTTGTTTGTGTTTCAGACTTTGAAGAAAAAAATACTGGTTGAATTTAAGTAAAAGAAAACTATAGGCAACAAAGATAACTCAGTTTCACATAGAGACAAACACGTAGAAAATATCTTAAAACATAGATTTTTTACAATTTATTATTCACTGACAGACAAACAGTTCTGCATGTCCATCCACGGTAAATCAAAAAGTAGACCCCCAAAAAAATTAATTATAACGACCAACAAATGTATAATTTTTACTTGCTTTTCGGCTTGTCATCACGCACTGTGGCTCTGTGTAAAATAAATTACAAAACCACAGGATTTTGAATGCAGCATATAATTTAACCCAGTGACGCGAGGATATTATCATATTACAGTATCACCTAAAAATTAAAAATAAAAAAAGGGAGAAGAGAGAGGGTAAAAAATGTAGAAAAAGCTTAAGAAAAAATACTCACAATTCCAAACAAAATATTGTTCGAAGCTGGAGTGATGAGCTATTTCCTTCCCTCTGTGTTTTTAACTAGAGTGTTCCCACCGAGGAAGGAGGCAAGCTTTGCACGCATGGCTGCCTGTGGAGCAATAAAACGATATGGCTGCGGAGGAGACTTGTTGGACATCACCTAGACACGACAGACGGTCAAAGCCAGTTGTTTTGTACTTGGCAGTGCAGAAACTTTCCACATATTCACATTTGAATCTCTTCTTTTTTTTCTTTTTTAGGGTAATTTAATCATTTCCTGCATTTTATTAATTTAATATTCAAGTATTTAATTGTCAAACAAGTGTTTCCCTGCTTTGCTAGAGAATGAGATCTGTCATTGTTTCCACTATTTCACCAGAGCCTCGTGTGTGTTCCACCTCGGTGCTGATCTTTCCTTTTTGTCTCTTAATTAATGCAAATGCTTCCAATTCTCCCATTCATTTGGGTACTGTTAAATTTCGCATATCGCACAGTGACCATAAACCTGCGTAGTTTAACATTTCTTAGCAAGAAATCATAAATTGATAGCATGGTGCCTTCAGATTAAGCGTGCGGATCATCTTTTCAACTGTTGCAGACAATGCATTCTCTGAATTTACTGAAGCATTAAGTGGGTGTGGTTGCAGAGATCAGTCCCCAGCGGAGATAATCCCTCTGTAAAGCATTACAGTCAATATCTCAGCAATGGTTAAAAAAAAATATTTTTTTTCCCTTGAGCTTTGGGGCAAAAAAGGGCTGGAGAGGAGTTTCCGTTGGAGCCAGGGAGCCAATAGAGTCTCTTGTAAGAGCTCACATGAGTTGCTTTTTTTTCAGGCTGTTTTTAATGACTGATATTGATGTATGGTAATTTCTTAGCTGGATCACATGACACAATTACCTCAGGAATCGATCAAGATGTATTGCAGGTCTGCCTGCGTTTCCGATTTTGCCTCCCTGTCGGGGTCTTTCCACACGCCCGTAGTGCTACAGATGGACAAAGTTTAACGCGGTCGAGCCACCAACTCCGTCCCTCTGTTGCATGGAGGAAAGAGGAAGAAGGAAAATGACGGAATTCGACGACCGAAGCTGTGCGTCAAATATGTTTTTGCCCAGTTGCACTTATTACGTTTCGACGCCCGATTTCACCTCAGTCTCCTCCTTTCTACCGCAGACCACTTCGTGTCAGATCAATTTTCCCTATTCGCCAAACATAACCCAAGTCCAACCTGTCCGAGAGGTCGCTTTCAGGGATTATGGACTGGACCATCCGAAATGGCACTACAGGGGCAATTACGCTTCCTACTACTCAACAGACGACATAATGCACCGGGAACTGATCCAGTCGTCGAGCGGCAGGGCAGATGTTATATTTAAAAATGAGCCCTTGTACGGTCATCACGGGGGAACCAGCGCGCAGTGCAATTTCTTCGCAGGAGTGGGCCGAAACGGTGTTCTCCCCCAGGGCTTCGATCAGTTCTTTGACTCTCCGAACACGGAGCTCCCCAAACAAAAGGCTGCTGAGCCTGCTTCCCACGATCACCGTGATGACCATGATGCCACGATCATCAGCCAGGCTGTAACCAAATTGGAGCAACAAAACGCAGAGCCTCCCGGCAGCGCCGACGAGGACTCATCCTCTAACTGTGGCGACAAGAACAATCGTCAGAGTAAGTCTATTTAGCATTTTCCTTTTTTTTTCTGCATCAACCAGAAGCTGTTAAAGGCGTCTTGGCTGCACAGTGTCCACCTCCGTGACGGCCCGTGGGTTATATGCACTTTTATAAGCATGCAAAAGCTTTTATATCCCTATAAGATTTACTTTACGGTTGTAAAAGAATTTACAATGGGAAACAGTTAAAGAAACCGTTCTTCAAGGTCTTCTGTGTGCAGAGTGGAATTATTTAACTTGGATTGATTAAGCATAGCAAATGGGATCATTTTGGTGTACAGATGCATATCTTTATGACAGACTTGAGTGGAAAAATCGATGCGTTTTTTTGCAAATTCGCGCATTGGAATGGGGTGTTTTTATGCAAATAGCCTGTGATTGTTGTCGTTGTGTGTGTGTGTGTGTGTGTGTGTGTTTGGGTGGTGTGTGTGCAGGGGGTGGGGGTGGGGGGTGTTACAGGGCCCTTTCTACAAGTAAAGCCTTATTAATTGCGTATTTACTGCACTCCTAAGCGCGGTTGTCCTGGGGACTGACCATACCTTTTTTCCTTTTGGGTGATTTTTTTTTTAAATAGCTTCTTTGTTTTGTTTCGTTTTGTTTTGCAGGTTCATCAACCAAGTCCAGGAAGAAGAGGTGTCCATACTCCAAATACCAAATCCGAGAACTTGAACGAGAGTTTTTCTTCAACGTGTACATTAACAAAGAGAAGCGTCTCCAGCTGTCCAGAATGCTAAATTTGACAGATCGCCAGGTGAAGATTTGGTTTCAGAATAGAAGAATGAAGGAGAAAAAACTCAACCGCGATCGCCTACAATATTTTACTGGGAATCCTTTATTCTGATGTATGAGGCTTGAGATAATCATTCAAACGCAAACACAGACTCAGCTGAAGAAGCTCCTAGGTACTAGAGCTGCAACCTAACATGCCCATTTATTTCATATGGGTGGTACGATTATTTTAATGTATTCAATCATATATTGGCTTTATTGTCAGTTCAGAATATTTTTATTCTAAATCATACCAAGTAGCATATATTGTCCTTTTCTTTATTTTTCTTTTTTTGTAAACATATTTGTGACATGCATGTAATAAATGTTGTGTATTGTGAAATGATAAGCAAACCAAATGGTTCTCCGTTACAAAATTGCTTTAATTGTGCTAAACAAAGATTTACTATAATAATTTTTGTCTTTTCCTTTAAAGCATTAAGGAGCAGAAACTTCAGTTTGGCACTCAAACGCTTATTTGGTTCCGTTGTTTCCTCGGCTTTGAAAAACTGAATTGTTTGCTAAACCTTGAACCGTCTAGACAGCGCAATAAAAAGTAGCTGTAAAGGTCTAAATAAGGGGCTATTGGACTGTGGTGTCTCAGCCCCCAAACCACATGAAAACGCATCCTTCCGGTCTTAAAGCGCTTTAACTTCTAACATCTAGAGACTTTTCTCTGCCCCTTTCAAGCGAATTCAGCTTTAGTTTTTTTTTGTCTTTTTTTAATGGGGCGCTGAGAGGGAAACGAGATTACTTTTCTCCTATTTTAGAGTTTTTAAATGTGCTGGAATGTGCTTTAAATTAGTTTTGTGTCTCCTTTCTGCATCTGACTGCAACAATTCCTCCCCTCTTTCTCAGAAACCTATTAATAATACATGCAGTGCAGAACAAATCACTGGTGATTTCATGTGAATATGAATTAATGTTGAAGGTATTTCTGTTTTTTTTTTTTTGATTCATGTCCTCTAATTTCCTTGGATCGTGATTTACTACCGACATGAAAGCAGATCACCAACTGAGTGGAGTGTTTCTTTTTGATTCACATTTTATCCACATGAGGGCAGACTTTCAAATCTAACTGAGTGAAAATGCAGACTTAAGCAAATTTAACATGGAAAAGCAACCAGCCCGAGGTTAGGACAGTCTGTTCTGCCCAAGGTTTACTGAGATTTTATTTTAAGCAG